GTTCGATTCCGGTCAAGGGCATGTACCTGGGTTGTGGGCACTTCCCCAGTGGGGGATGTGCAGGAGGCAGCTGATCGATGTTTCTAACTCTCTATCTCTCTCTCTTCCTCTCTGTAAAAAATCAATAAAATATATTAAAAAAAAAAAAAAGATTTAACTACTTATACTGTTACTTGAGGTCTTTGTTATTATTTTTTTATAATGAATTCATAAGTGCTCAGTAAATGTTTGTTGAATAAAAAAGAGGACCTTCCCAGCCAGCATGGCTCAGTGGTTGAACACTGACCTATGAACCAGGTCACAGTTCAATTCTGGTAAAGAAGGCACATGCCCCGGGTGTGGGCTCGGTCCACAGGAGGGGATATGCAAGAGGCAGCCTATCAATGTTTCCCTTTTATCAATGTTTCTACTTCTCTCTCCCTAAAAATCAATAAAAACATTTTTAAAAGAAGAGGAGCTTGCATAAAAAAATACCTTGAGTTTTTTTCCCTTACAAATCTATTTTAATAATGATCTTTTGATAGCAAACATGGGAATTTTCAAAATATGGCAGAAACAGCTGTATACTTTTTGAAACTCCCTAAGTGCGTCTTCAAAACAGATTTAAAAAATCAATACTTTTATGAATATAAATACGAAAATCCTCAACAAAACACTAGTGAGTGGAATTCGGTTATATAAATACATATATATATATACACACATACACACACACACATACACACACACATACATATATATATGATGGGGGGGAAATAAAGCAGGTTTAACCTAAAAAAAAATCAGACACCTGACCAAGGGTGATTTACCCCAGGAATGCAGGGTTGCTTTAACATCCAAAAATCAATTAATGTAATACACCATATCAATAAAACAAAGGACAAAACCACATCATCATCTCAATAGAAACAGATAAGGCACATGACAAAATATGACCCCTTCCATGATTAAAAAAAGTTGTTTTTTTAAAACCAGGAATAGGCCCAGCTGGTGTAGCTCAGCGGTGGAGAATCAAGCCAGGAACTAAGAGGCCACGGGTTTGATTCCCAGTCAGGGCACATGCCTGGGTTGTGGGCTCGATCCCCTGTGGGGGGCATGCAAGAGGCAGCCGATTGATGATGTTTCTCTATCACTGTTGATGTTTCTCTCTCTCTCTCTCTGTCTCAAAAAAAAAAATCAATAAAATATATTTTTAAAAAAAGATTGAAATCCTAAAGTTTTAAAACCAGGAATAGAAGGCAACTTCCACAACTTAATGAAAGGCATCCATGAAAATCCTACAGCTAGCATTACACTTAACAATGAAAGACATTGCTTTCCTCCCTAAGGTTCCTGAACAAGAGAAGGATAACTATTCTTGTCATTTTATTAAACACTAGAGGCCTGGTGCACGAAATTTGTGTACTCAGGGTGGCGGGGATCCCTCAGCCTGACCTGGGCTATCTCGCAGTCCAGGAAGCCTTGGGGGATTTCCGACTGATGGCATAGGTCCACTCCCCATATGGGCCTAAGCCATCAGTCAGACATCCTTAGTGCTCCCGCGGGAGCAGGAGAGGCTCCCGCCACTGCTGCTGCGTTTGCCACCTGTGAGCCCAGCTTCTGGCTGAGCGGCGTTCCCCCTGAGGGAGTGCACTGACCACCAGGGGGCAGCTCCTGCATTGAGCGTCTGCCTCCTGGTGGTCAGTGTGCATCATAGCGACCAGTCATTCCACCTTTCGGTCAATTTGCATATTAGCCTTTTATTATATAGGATTGTATTAGAGGTTCTAACAGGACATTAAGGCAAAAAAAATTTTTTTAAGGCATCTAGATTGCAAAAGAGGTAAAAACTATATCACAGATGACAAGATTTTGAATACAGAAAATCTTAAAGAACACACTAAAGAAATACTATTAGAACTAAAAATGAGTTCAGCAAGGTTGCAAAATATAAGACTGATACACAAAAAAAATCAATTGTATTTCGATACAATTGCAATGAATAATATGAAAATAAAATTAGGGAAGCAATTCAATTAAAATGGCAACAAATAGAATAAAACACTTAGTAATAAATTTAGCAAAGTAATTGGTGCTGAGACTGCTGATCTCCACTAAAGTTGGACCTCTATCTTATACCATATTCAAAAGTTAACTCAAATTCATGATCCTGGCGTCTGGCGCCCTGCGGTCAGCTAAGTGGCGCTCCCAGTGGGAGCACAAGGACCACCAGAGGGCAGCTCCTGAGTTGAGCATCTGCCCCCTGGTGGTCAGTGCGCGTCATAGTGACCAGTCAAACAGTCAACTGGTTGCTTAGGGTTTTATATAGAGAGATTGTATTAAAAATAACAAATAATTTACGATTTTAACCCCACTCTATTGTACAGCACAATAGGGTTAGCTATATGCACACTGCTATGCATAAGGTCGATCGTATTTGGCATCTCACTAACAGAAAGCCTATATCCAATTCTTGCCCCACTTCCCCGAGCCCCTGGCACCACCATTCTATTTTCTAAGACTTTCCCCATATAGGTGGAACCAAATACATATATTTTATTTATTCATTTATTTTTAATATACCAGTATCTTTATTGATTTCAGAGAGGAAGGGAGAGGGAGAGAGAAACATGATGAGAAAATCATTGATTGGCCACCCCCTGCATGCCCTCTACTGGAGATCAAGCCTGCAACCTGGGCACGTGCCTTTGGCCAGAATCGAACCTGGGACCCTTCAGTCCGCAGGCCGATGCTCTAGCCACTGAGCCAAACCAGCCAGGGTGCATATATTTTATTAAAATACTAGAGGCCCAATGCATGAAAATTCGTGCAAGAGAAAGCCTTCCCTCCTCCAGCGGCCAGCAGGCACCCAGGACCGGGGCTGCTTCTCTCCTCCTGCTGCCCGCAGGCACCTGGGACCTGGGATGGCCTCTGGCCCTGGCTTTGTCAGGAAGGACATCTGGAATGATGTCTGGTCTAATTAGCATATTACCCTTTTATTATTATAGACTAGTAGCCCATCGCATAATATCGTGCATAGTAGGCCGCCCGCCGCTACCATGGGAGCCAGCGAAAACCGCAGCACGCTGCCAAGAGCCATGCTGCTTCCACGGGAGCAGTGCGGCTTCCACGGGAGGCAGAAGCGAGCTGCCGGCGCCCACGGGAGCTGTGAGGGACCCGTGCTGATTGTGCGGGAGGCGGGAAGAAGCCATGCTGATGCCATGGGAGGTGGATTCCGCAGGAGGCGGGAGGGAGCCGTGCTGCAGGAGGTGGGCCCGCCATCTCCTCTCCGGGCCTGCGCTTGGCTGCAGAGGCTGCGGGCTGGCCCCCCCCTCTGTCTCCCCCGGCCTCACCTGCATGAGCAGCCTCCTCCTGTTGGGTTGTGACCTGTTATGGCATCCCGGCCTAATTTGCATATTTCCTCTCTCTCTCTCTCTCTATATATAGATACAGATATAAATATAGATATCTATATCTATATAGATATAGATAGATAGATTCTCGTTTTATTTATCCTTTACAGTCAGAGTGGCATAACAGTTTTTAAAAATATTGTGCCATTCTTTTCAATTCTAGTGCTACTGAAAACTCATGTTTAAAAAGTTATGTTACTGGGAGGGGCACAAAGAACTATTTGGGTGATAGAAATGTCTTACATCTTGTCCATCAAACTGAACCCTTAAAGATCTGTACACATTGCATTTAAAGTACACCTCAATAAAAACCATCACATTAAAAACATATTGTGCCATCAAGGAAGCAAAACAAGGTATCTGTTATTTAAAAATAGCCATGATTGACATAGAATTCAGAACTGTTGAGTCCCATATGAACCTAACTAACGCATACGTATAACATTCCACTCTAGTAACCTTTAGAAACTCTTGGCTCATTTACATTTGTACTTGGAGGCTCCAAGTGCAAGTTGCCGGTTATAAAAACAGTCACAGCGTGTAAAGCAGGGGTCCTCAAACTTTTTAAACAGGGGGCCAGTTCACTGTCCCTCAGACCGTTGGAGGGCCGGACTATAGTTTAAAAAAAAACTATGAACAAATTCCTATGCACACTGAGGTGGCAAAAACACCCGGCGGGCCGGATAAATGTTTCCAGTGGGTCACATGTGGCCCGCTGGCCGTAGTTTGAGGACGGCAGGTGTAAAGTATGGCATAGTCATTAATTCTATATAATAAAAGCGTAGTATGCAAATTGTCCCCTTGACCAGGAGTTGCCTCGGAGTTCGATCAGGGGGTGGGGCTGGCCGGGGGAAGGGAGGCCCCGGTGGGCAGCCGGCAGCTGCTAGTGATCCTACCAGTGCATGAATTTTGTGCACCGAGCCTCTAGAATTGTAATAACTATGTCTGGTGTCAAATGGGTACTAGAATTATCAGGGGAATCACTTCATAAGGTATGTAAATGTCTAATCACTATGTTGTACTTTAATGTAATATCATATGACAACTGTAGTCGAACATTAAGTTAAAAATATATATGGCAAAAAATACACAAAACAAACAATAACTCCTCTTGGTTAATCCTCTCTCCTGTTCCTTTCTTATCCAGATGTGAGAGGTCCATTTAATTTCTGGTTACAACCATTTGTCCTCAACTATCTATACCTTTGAACACTAATTTTAATCCTTTAAACACAAAGAGGGAATACAATTCCCACACACATTCACAAATGTAGGCAACATTTGCCAAGCACAAGTCTGTATCCTATTATATAGCTACTAGAGGCCCGGTGCCCCGGGTTGGTGGGGGTGTAGGGGTCTCTCAGCCCCGCCTGCACCTTCTGGCAATCTGGGATCGGGCCTAAACCAGCAGCCGGACATCCCTCTCGCAATCCGGAACCGCTGACTCCTAACTGCTGGCCTACCAGCCTGCCTGCCTGCCCATCACCCCTAACCACTCTGCCTGCCCCATCGCCCCTAACCACTCTGCCTGCCCATCACCCCTAACCACTCTGCCTTGGCCCCCACTGCCGCTTCATCAGGAAGGATGTCTGGAAGGTCGTTGGACTGTCCAGTCTAATTAGCATATTATGCTTTTATTATTATAGTTTTGCCTTCTTTTATTTTGGAGTTTGGAAGATTCAGAACTGTTCTGACCTGGAATGGGAAGGAGGCAAGGGCTGTAGCTACTGGAAATCACAAGGTCAGGACCCAGGGAGGTCAGGCCTGGATCCTGGCTCAGCGCTGCGCTTCGGGGCTGTTTCAGGGCTGAGATGCCGTTTGTAGGGAAGACCGTCGGTGAGAGCCGGTGAGAACCAGCCTGCCCGGTCGCTCCTCACTGCTGTCCGACCGGGGCGCATTGCGTCACCGCCCTCGGCCTCGGTTTCCGTGTCGGGAACCTGGGGATAAACGGCAGAGTTCCCTCGGGAGCATTCTGAGGCCTGGCGAGCGCACAGGACTTTGCACAGCGCACGAATAGGCGGTGACATGTAACGCTTGGCTATCCCCACCCGGTCACTTCATGGGAACGTCCCTACAAATACCGAGTCACGATTGTTATTAGGCGGCCCCGTTTACGGTCAGTGTTTCGTAACACATTTTACCAATTTCCGTGCCCGTGCCCGCCTCCAATGACCGAGTGCATTAACAAGAGCCGGTGTCCTCCTCGGGCTCCCTGCGCCGCCCACGCCGGCCACTGCCTCCCAGCCCCTCCGTCCAGGCTGCACGGGGGTCCTGAACCACAGAGCTCCGTCCGCTCGTTACTTCTGGTCCCCGCCGCCCGGTCCTGGTGACAGTTCCAGCGGCCCCGGCCCCGCCCAGGGAGGAAGCCCCAGCGCCGAGCGGCGGCCGGAAGTGCGGCCTCGGGGGCGGGCAGAGCGACTTCAGGCGGAGCCCGGGGCGCTGGCCAATCGGATGCGACGGCCCCGCGGAGAGGGCGGAAGCGAAGAGGTCTAGTTCCGGACGCGGCGGCGGCCGCCGCCATCTGTCACCGCCACTTCGGCCCCGGCCCCCCGTCGCCCCGGCCCCGCCTCCGGCCCCGCCATCGCTCCTGTGCTCGCGGCCGGCTCTTCCCCGCATGGATCTGGTCGGAGTGTCATCGCCGGAACCCGGGCCGGCGGCGGCCTGGGGACCCAACAAGGTGAGTGGCGCTCGGGGCCATCGCACCTGCCCTGGTCCCCGGGGCCGGTCTTCGGAAGGCCCGGAGAGGTGGCGGGCGCCCGGGAGGGAGGGGCGGGACGGGCGCGGCTGCCAGACTCGGGGTCTTTCTCCGAGCACCTTGCGCCCCAAAACGCGCACTTGTGGGCGGGACCCGCCTGGAGACGTGACGTTCGCGGACGGCCCGCTCGGACTTGTTTTTCTGGGCGCAGTGAGTCAGCCCAGTTACACCCGGGAGCCGGCGGAAAGGTAACAGCCGGGGCACCCTCCGCGGCAGCTCCGTGCGCTCGGGGGCGGGGGTGGGGGGGGGTGGGGGGGCGAGGATGAGTCCAGGCCCCTGGCCGCCCAGGCGGACCCTGAGCGGGACTCAGCCCGGCCTGAGCTCCAGCGCCCGGCCTGGGCTGTAACATCTGTTTCAGCTTTTCCTCCGGCGGCTGAGCCCACCTTTGGCTCCTGGGTCTCGGGCTGCTGCTTGTCATGCTTTCCCCAGAAAAGACTGTCACCTGTTGAGGGCTTGCTGGAAAGTAAGAATGCTTCCGTTGGGATTTGTGTTCCTCAAACTAAAGTTAGGAAGGAATCCAACTTGTTTAGCTTCATAATTGTTCTTTATATGCCAACACAGAACATTTTTTTTTCGTGTAAAACAGCGGTTCTCAACCTTCTGGCCCTGTAAATACAGTTCCTCATGTTGTGACCCAACCATAAAATTATTTTCGTTGCTACTTCATCACTGTGATGTTGCTACTGTGATGAATCGTCATGTAAATATCTGATAGGCAGGATGGTCTTAGGCGACCCCTGTGAAAGGGTCATTGACCGCCAAAGGGGTCGCGGCCCACAGGTTGAGAACCGCTGGCCTAGAGTGTGTGTCTAGCTGCCTGGAGAGACAGGGGTCTTCTGTGGCTTAGGGTTCTCTCTCTCCATTTGCTTTGAGGTGAGGACTGGATTTTTGTTGTGTGCCCACTTCATGTTTGCTCTTTTTTATTGTGCTTGATTCTCTCCCTGTATCTGTCTGCAGTAGAACTTTAAACAAAGAAAAGTGGGAGGGCAGCTAGGGATCATCTTTTTTTTCTTTTAAATATATTTTTATTGATTTCAGAGAGGAAGGGAGAGAGAGAGAAACATTAGTGGTGAGAGAGAATCATTGATTGGCTGCCTTCTGTATGCCCCCTACTGAGGATCCAGCTGGCAACCCGGGCATGTGTCCTTGACCAGAATTGAACCCAGGACCCTTCAGTGCACAGGCCAGTGCTCTATCCACTGAGGCACCCCAGCTCGGGCACAGGGATTGTCTTTAGGAGATGGGCGGGAAAAGGTGATGTCCCCATCAGGCAGGTGGGAGAGTGGCAGCAGTGAAGGCCCCGCTCTGAGCAGAGCCGAGTGGTGGCCGTTTCCGAGGGGAGGAGAGCCTGGCGGGTCTCGGGTTCTTCAGCAAACAGGACAGAAGGAATCAGGGAGCTGGTTACGGGCCTGGTGTCATTGAAAGCGGAATGGCGAACTGGAAAGGACTGTGGGGCTTCCTGTCTTGACGCAATAGGGAGTTTGTATAGATAAGGGAATAGTGGGAAATGATGTTGGACAGCAAAGATAGAGAAGATTAGGAGGGCGTCTTAGATTTATTATTATTCTAGCATTAAATAAAGTTTTCCTAAATACAAAGAGTGTCTCATTTACTGGAGAGTTACAAGATGATGACAAGAGGATTCCCCTACATACAGTCCACAGTACCATTCCCAGGAGGGGCCCCCCTTGAGGTGGTAAACCCCTGTGCCTGTGTGGTGGATTGTCAGCTTACACATTTTTATGGAGGACTTTTGACTACTGATTTAAAGAGTTTGGATTTGATCAAAGTATGGGGGTTGGCAACCTTTGGGAAGTCTACTTATTTGCCCTCACCCAAGGAAGGCAGCCCAGCTGAGCTGTCAGCAGAGGTACGGGAAGGAGACCTCTGGAGTCCGAGGCTCTGAGAGCAAGAGCAGTCTCCCTTTCTGATTCCATCTATGTTAGAAGTAGGTAAACCTCTGCCTCAAAATTACACAGTAAGCCTGTCATTTATGCCTCTTCTAAGGAATTGTCAGCTAATTTCACATGTTATTGGAATTACTTGATGTTGACAAAAGACTAGAAACACCTTCAAGATGGAAAAAGGACTTGGAATAGCACCAGGCCTCTAGAGCCCCGGGACCACGTGGCAGTGGATGGACTATCTCCAGGGTTTCCTGTGGGCACTTACTCAGTAAGTGCTGGGTGCCTCTTCCGGGGAAGCTCTGTGCTGGGCTCTGAAAATGGAGACACCCGGCCTTTCAAGGCTCCTGCTGTGTTGTGGTTGATGCAGGAACGCCAGGGCAGTGATTGGTGCTGCTCACAGGACACCGTGGAATGGGAACCAGAGGATGGAAGCTGAGACAGCCTGAAGGAGGAGGGGTAATTTAATTGGGGGAAATGGGAGGAAGAGGCATCAGAGAGAAGGGCATGTGAAGGTGTGGAAGGGCCTATGATTAAGTGTTGCTGGAGCATGGGGTAGTGAGGCTGGAAAGTTAAATTTGGTCAGGTTTTGAGGGACATTGACTGCTGAGGAATTCGCATTTGGACTGCAGGCAGTACAGCAGTTTGCGTCTCATGTCCCAAGACAAGATGAGGGAAGCAGTGTAGCAACATACTGTGAGTGCAGTTAAGTCCTAGTCGCAGCACTTCCATCTACAAAAAATCTTTCTGTGTCTCTGTTTCTAAATCTATAAAATAGGGATGCTATTGCAACTGCTCAATGGTGACTTTCATCTAGATGTTATATATATTTAGTCAGTGACTAAAATATAGTGAATTTTTGTCTTATTTTACTAATAGTTATTGCAAATGTGATTGACAGTTGACAATTCTGAGTTAGAGAATACCATCATTTACCTCTTGGAACCTGGACTTTGAAACTGATCAGACCAAACATTTCTAGGCAACATTAAGTCTTCTACCCTAGAGGGTTTAAGACAGCGGTTCTCAACCTGTGGGTCGAGACCCCTTTGGGGGTTGAACGACCCTTTCACAGGGGTCGCCTAAGACCATTGGAAAACACATATATAATTACATATTGTTTTTGTGATTAATCACTATGCCTTAATTATGTTCAATTTGTAACAATGAAAATACATCCTGCATATCAGATATTTGCATGACAATTCATAACAGTAGCAACATTACAGTTATGAAGTAGCAACGAGAATAATTTTATGGTTGGGGGTCACCACAACATGAGGAGCTGTATTAAAGGGTTGTGGCATTAGGAAGGTTGAGAACCACTGGTTAAGAAGTCAGCAGAGTCATGTGGCCAAAAGATGAGCTATGTTCTCCAGACTAGAGAGCTTCAAGATTCTAGACCCAGAAGTCACCCAGCCCCTGAAGCCGTCTGTGTTCTCGGTCAGCTCTGCTGGGGGCTAGTGCAGGTGTGCTGAGAGCTGGGCGCCTCTCCTCCTCTCGGGAGGAGGCTGGATAAAGCTGGGTTCTGATTTGCTTAGCATAGCTGTCATTTCTCACCCTGAAGTGCTCCACCCGGCAGCCTGAACCAAGTGGATTTCTGAACCTCAGTGTTGTGGAACGTTAACAAGGGTCAGTGGCCCAGCTGTCCTCAGAGCCACGCCAGGCCCTTAGGCCAGCTAGAGGTCTTTACTGGCTAAATGTGATTAACAGTTTGTCTGGCTAAAACATCATGTGCTGCTTCTAAATTAGACACTCAGTACTAGTTAAGGAATGAGTCTGGACTTTACTCTAAAGGCAGTGGGAAACATTAAAACAATGAAAGAGCTTTAAGTAAGGAAACTGGAGCAATCTAATCTGCATGTTCGAGGGGGAAACCACTGCTGTGGTAGCTGCCTGGTAACAAGCAGGGCTGGCAGCAGAAAGTTGGTTGGAGGTGCTTACAGGAGATGGCGTTGATATCTGGGGGAGAATCTTGGAAGGGGAGCTGGGCGAGTTCAAGAGAGATTTAGACGTTGTCTTCAATAATGGTGGTCCTAACCCCTGGGCTTTCAAATGTAATCGTTCACTGCTGCTAAGTAAAGCTTGCCCCTCAGAAATAAATTGTGAAGTTTACCTACGTTTTGTATGTCAAGAGGGCTGAGATAGTGATGTCATTGAGGAAGGCTGACTGATTAGCCACCTGTCTCAGAATATCGCTTGGCTGTGGTGGTGGTGGTGTTGCAAGACTTGAATTGTGCAGTTCGTAGACTGTTCCCATAAGAGAGTCTACCGGGGAAGCCCAGTTATCAGCAGAAGGTTGCTTGTGAGTCAGCATGGATGTGGAACAAGGGGTGTTACATGAACTAACTCATTGGCTGGTGGGGTGATGCTGTGATAGCCTTTTCCCTTCAACTAAAAAGGACATACTACTGATTTGAGCTGGGAGGTATTTTTACTTTGAGTTGATTCAGCTAGTTTAATTTCCAAAAGCTGACCTTATTTCCAAGCTTGGGAGGTATTTTAATTTCATTATTATGAATTGAATTGTCCTTTTTAAAATTTTTTTATAGTGTCCATGGGCTACTCCTCAAAAGACAATATCCTGTTCTTTGGCTGATGTCATGAGTGAGCAGTTGGCTAAAGAGTTGCAATTAGAAGAAGAAGCTGCTGCTTTTCCTAAAGTTGCGTAAGTAAAATTTAGAAAGAATCAA